ACAACCGATGAATGTGGATGCGTCTTAGAATATCGGGAAAGTTGCATCAGCCTGTGAACGAAATTCCACACCCTACACTTGAGAATGGACGATTTTTTCAATTCTTGAGTGATATGCCCCTCATCATAAGGTGTGTGAGAAACCATCTCCTGACCCACACATATGCTAAGGTAACTGAAACAAGATTGAACTAATAGTCGCCGATTGAATAACTTAGAAATAACATGTGTGCAACTTAGTTTTGTCTTTTATCCCACTGCTTTTTCTACCAGGCTGGTACCAACTGCATAAATTTTAAGCACTACGAGCTCCTGTAAGATGCTGAAAAGGACAGCCATCTCAAGATTGTTCCAAATTGACCTCCTCCCACGTCAAGCCAAGCAAGCTGGAGAAAATGAGCGTAAGACTTGCAGCACAGGTACGTTACCAATGTCATCCCTATAGCTTGCATTTCCTGCTTTTTTTTTCTTTTTTATTTTATTGGTATGAAAATGCAAATATTTGACTTTTTAAAATCTTTCTTCCAGTTGCTCTGCAGGAGTGTCGCCATTGGGCTGAAGTTTTACAGGGAGCACCATGCACCAGGCTTCGGGGACAGTGAAAGAACGAAAATTTCACGATGAGAATGACCTGTTCCATGTTCTAAACGCCAAACTCCCTGCTGCTGGCATCTGCAAAAACTCTATGAAAATCCAGGTAATGGGTGTTCTTATGCTTGTGGTTTGTTGTGTTATATTGCGAGCCAAATATATTCGTGGAGCCAATCGTTTCCCGTGCTGCAGGTGATAAAAGACTTCCTCATCATGCTGAACACGACCGAAAAGAACAGTGAGAGACGCACAAAGCTCTTTGCATCTCAGCTGACGACAGAATCCCTCCGAGTGGCATTGATGTCTATGCTGGATATAATCGAGCTCCTGCATGACAAGGACCCAAGACACGTGCCGATTGCAAAACTCAACCAGGGCCTATTGGAAGTAGGTATTTTACGTTAATTTGGATGTAGTTTGTGGCTGCCTTGTTTACCGATGTTTACTTTTTTCCTTGCCAGCTCTTTTTTGAAGTCGTGAGGTTGTTTGGCAGTGATGAAGATCACCCTACGATAGGACACTTCGGCCAAATATTTAGGCTTTTAAGCCTCTTCACTCCCTTAAAGATGGTGACAAAAGGAAATCGCGCTGGCGATGCAGATCCAATTCTTGTCAGCGTGGAGGAGAGCTTTAGCACGAAGAAGCTTGAAGTTCTTCAGCAAAAACAGAAATAAGAGGACAAGCTTGGACAGCTCATCCACACAATCGTGTTGGAGAAGTAGCCAGAAGGGGGCCCAACCAGGACAGTTATGGCCGACGCACTGCAACTGATGCTGCCGTGCACTACCTTGCAGGATACATTGTAAGGAAAGTAGGAAAGTTTTCCAGTTACCATGACTGCAAAACTCTTCTTGCCACAGATGGTGTACCACCTGCAGCCATTTTGAGCGAAATGTTCTCCTTTGTCTGGGTGCCCTCAAGCTGCCTTCGAAAATCCCGACAGCACTGCTTACGCACATTGAGAAGGCTATAGCTGTAAGAAGCAAGTCCAACGTGCTGTTTGGAGACTTCTTTTGGTGCATTGTTGAAGACTTGACGAAAGGTGGCAGCCTTGTAGAGGTTGAGTGTTCTAGCCATTCTGAGCAGCTCTCTGCACGCAATTTAAAATTTCATTTAGTAACTCGGACATTTAAAGTTTCTACAGGCACACAGAGACACGAGTGAAGTTAAAGTTGCCAGAAAGCATGCATAGCTTTTGTTAGTACCAAACAAAGCAATAATATCTTAGGTTTTACATGCCAACCGCTATGCCACTGCGGTGGACATATGTACCAGCCAGTACTTGAGATTTATGGAGTGCGAACTTGAGTTAACAGAAAAATAGAAGGACAACCAGTGCATTTATCCTTTATTTCATGGAAGTATTAGTGGACAAAAGTAAATAGACCTGAATAAACTAATGGATCAAATGCCTGTTGCTTTGTTACTTTCAAATTCATGCTGAATTGCTAGCGAGTGCAGTGGACAAGATTTGCCCGTTGAGTTAGCATTAAGCAAAATTTACATTGAAAGGGGTGTGCTCACAAGCTCGGAAGCCACAGTTGTCAGTTGCGACGTGCATGTGTTTCTGCACAAGTCATTTGTATTTGTTGTATTCGGCATAGTCAGGGGAGGGGGGGGGGATTCAAACCCTGCTCCTAATATTTTCAATTTTTGCTTGTGCATATAAACACGCACACATATAAATGCACACATGAACATAGATGATGGCTGAACAGGTTGAAAACCCTCCCGAAAAGGTTTCTGACTAAGCCACTAGTTTGTATAGAAATACAAATTTCTAAATGCTTTGTTCAAATGACTCTCGTCATAACCTTAGCCGAATGGCAAAAAAGCAGGGCATGTGGGAAAGCAGTGAACAATGTTACTAAAAGGTAGCAAAACCACGCACCAATGCAAAATGCCTAATGTTTTGGGAGCTGTGAACTCGAGACTGTAGAGCATGCCGCGTTCGCATTTTGAAGCAAGCACAGAATAAGCGCCAGTGGTTGAGATATGTTGCAGTGATTTATTTAAAGTTTCCCCAAACTGTTGAATGTAAAAAAACATGCTCATCGGGCGCCTGAGCACAGCCTTGCGAGTGGCGAGGATGGATCTCCACAGAATGCTTCCGCCATCTGTCGACCAAACTGAAAACGAAGACACAAGCAAAGCACAGCGCCAGCAGAGAGTTTGTAAACTGAACCTAGTCAAGTAACGTTAGGGTTTTGCTGCAGTGTAGACTGAAAGCAAAGCGCAACACAGCATAAACCACTTGCATTTCAGGTTTCACTTAACAGCATTGATTCAACACAGCTCGCCAACAAGAAATGTTCACACGAGCTCAACCAACACAAAATTTTATGTACACATTCTTAAACACAAAAGTGACCAAGGGCCTGCAAATAAATTTCAGAAGCTGTTGGCATTGTAAGAAATGATGAACTTGCATTTCTGCATAAGCATATCTTAATAGCAGACCTTTTAAAATACATGAAGTACAGACATGAACCTGTTTTCTTTTAGACTAAAACAATTTTTTTTTTCGAACTGGTGAAAAAGCTGGCACCTTTGTCCTGGTTTTATGCAAATCCTACAACTTATTCCAATTAGTTTTGAAGTTACAATATACTCTCATTAAATGGGATCCAAAGATACCAGAAAAATATGTTCCATTTAACAGGAGCTTTGTTCACCGAGAGATGAACAAGGGAGTTGCATTCAGGTACAAAACCAATAATATTCGAAACAATTGCTCTATTTAAGCAGCAGTTCCGCTCAAGAAATTTTAGTTTACTGAGAGTCTACTGTATTTGATACAAATTATTACAACCCTCGAAGCAGAAGTAATGTTCACTCAAACCAAGAACACTGGCACACAATAATTACAGCATGTCAAAAAAGGTGTTGTGCAATATTGCAATATGGGAAAAATTATTGGTGAGCTTGGTGCTACACCAAGTGTTTCAAAAATGTGTTCGTAAGCCTAAAAGAAGGAAAATGCAATATCTGCTTAATGCCTTCATAATTACCTGTTCTGTGGTAGCCCACATCTTAGGACTGCTAGAGACATTAATTAGAGAAATTAGAATTGCTGACTTTTTAGTTAGAAGAGATAGGTGATCGGGTGAAATGGGAGAATAGAAGTTATTGCTGCGGAGAGCTCTTTTCCACTAAGATGCCCAAAAAGAGGCTGTTGGTAAACCTTGCAATAATGAAATTCAACCAAATCACCGGCAATATTGGAGCACCAAAAAGCGCAACTTCCATACCCTAGCAAATGCCCCAGAACAACGGCACTGTTTCCAATAATGATCGCCGTGGTGCAAGTTCTGCATTTGTGGCCGTATGTACGTGAAGCACAATAACATGGACACAGCAGCTTGTACACCCACCAAGTGAAGTAGGTCAATGTATAATAATGCTTGCACATTTTGGATGTCTCGGAAAAGTACGAAAAGTGCGCTTTTTGAAATTTTGGTTTCAATTTTTATGGTGAAATGAGTCGAATTTCATCTCTCTGCAAAAATTATCACAAAACGTTTTTCAGAACTCTCATAGCAGCAATGAGGTTTTTGCAGGAAGGAGTTTTGCAGAAATATACATCAGAATATACTCGTATTTCACAGTCTGAAAATTTCTGAATAACTTACAACATGGTTTCAAAAAGCACAGATTTACTCAGACGGCACTTCTGGCTCGGAATGAAACAATTTTGCAGGCCTCCAGTGCCGGACAGTACGTTGTGGGCATATATAGTATAGACTTTCTAAAGGCCTTTGACATAAGCCATTCAATCCTCCTTTGCAAACTCAAACAATATGAAATACGTGGAACAGCAAACGACCTGCCAAAACTGTACCATAATCAAAGAATGCAATATATTGATATAAGCAGTGACCAATCATCCCTACAATCAATACATGCAGGAGTACCTAGAGGAACCATTTTACAAGCGCTCCTTTTTACAATTTATGTGAATGATATTGCAATTTTGCAACAAGAATGCCCAATTTATTATGCCAATGACATGCCCATTGTCTTAATGGGCATGTAAATGGCTGATACTTATTGCAAGGCTGACTGGGTGCTTGCAAAAATAAAAGAGTGGGCTGATGCAAATAGCTTTAAAATGAACTCTAGTACTATCACACCCAAAGGCAAAACTTTCCCAAGACTGAATGATATAAGCATGGAAAATGACACCACAGAGGTTAATAAAAGTATTAATATCCTGGGTGCTTCCTTCTCAAAAAATTTAACTGGGAATGAGCATGCAGAGTTTCTGTGTTCTAAGTTGCTTCAGCAGTACATCCAATTACTAGAGTATAGAACATGCTTCCTAAAAAGATTAAAATTTTACTCTACAATTTATTAGTACTTTCCCTGCTTCAGCATTGCCATCTTGTATGGGGTACCACAGGTACGGCCTACATGATTAAAATACATTTATTACAAAAAAGAAAAGATTTGCAAGAATTATCGAAAATGCAAATAAAGTATACAATGCACAAGCAACAAATAATTATGACAATATACCCAGCCCATGAGCAAACGATTACAAAGAATCTTTATCTTATACATTTCCCCATTTACTTAACAGGTTACAACACAAATCATTTGACCCGTTATGTTAATTAAAATCACTCTTCTTGTCAGGAATAGCTAAATAAAGTGTACAGGCATAACATCCAACATAGGAGTGTTATCGTGTACGGTGTATTGTTGAATTACTACCATATTTCAATTTCTGTTAAAAAATCATTTCTATATTATTATTGTTATTTTACTTTAGATATGTGTAAATATTCAAAATTTCAAATATTTTTTGAATAATTTTTGCTATTCAATTTGATTGGCACTGGAAATTTACTATTCCAACTTACCAAAGACAAATACGGTCAACGTCCGATTGTATTTGATGACCCTTTCAGATTTTAAACATGCTTCAACCCATCACAATCTCGCATTGCAGCAAAGTTGCCTTTCAGGCGCTACTACACTTGTGAATGCATTGGCTCGAAAAAACGTTGGTTCCAACATGGAGATTATACGTAGATGGGCAGAAGTGGGGGCTCAACTGATCCTGTTTAGGACCTGGAACTTGGGCCGGGAGTTCGAAAAATCACACACCCGAAATTTGTAGCATCTAAAATTTCTGATGTATTGACATTTACGAGGCTGCCTTAGAAATCAAGACTATAAGCGAGCACCCCTGTCCACCACATCATTTGAGGATCCACAGAAATTAAAGCAACACTAAAGTCAAATAAAAATTTATGTCAGAGTGAAAGCTCAATGTATGACAATGTCTAAAGCGACAATATTATCAACAGAGGTGCCCTACTTAACGAGAAATTAAGGTAAATGCACAAGAACACATACACCATGAGTAGCACATTTACAAAATGATCCCGATGATATCAGAGTCACTGCCTACAATTAATCACTAGTAATCAAACCAGCTGCACTAAATAAAAAACTTTCAGTGCATCAAGAAACGTTATAAAATGCTGCTTGTTCGTTTCTGTTCGGTTCATGGAAAAAAGAACTGCCAGACGTAACTGTGGAGAACGGTGCAACTGGTTCAAAAGTTCAATTTTCACCTGGTTAAACTGGACAGGTCATGCCATCCAGCAGAGCCCAGTTGAACCAAGCACACCTGCCATCTTGGAGGCCATGGCAGAAAATTTTTCAATGGCTATTATTGCTGCTGTGACTCCCACTACTTTCGCTCTGCTGCTACTAGTGCTGTTGGCAGCGCAGTAAAGCCGGGCAACGTTGTGTGCAAAAAAGTGACGTGAAAGGTTCCACTTGAAGTGAGTAATTTGAAGTATGCTAACGCAATGCGGACCACTAAAACATAACTTTATTTCAAAATGAGCACTTCCTTGGCACAAACGTAGCATTAAGAGGTTTCTGGACCGCTATTTCAGCAATCAACATCGACTTAGTGTTTGACTTTAGTGTCATTTTAATAGAGTAGAAGAGGCCAAATAAATGGAATCTGCTTTTCACATGAAAATTGTTAGCAACACTAGCTGTGCCCCAAATCTTGTACAGGGGATGGTCAAAATTCCAAGGCCACGTTCTCATAGTAATACCTGGGATAGTGGCCTGGGAACTTTTCAACCCTTCCCCATCCCTGTAAATAAACATATTTCAACCTCTTCATTGCCCAATTCTTGATAAGACAACTATGAAACACCCCCCCCCCCCCCCCCACTAACATTTCAACCTCACCCAAGGAAACACTTCCATGTTTCTATCTCATAAGAATATGCTGAGTCTTCTCCAACCTTTTTTTTTTTTTTGCAATTTCGCTAGAAAGTATTAAAAAATATTATATCAATGTCTGAGAAATATTTAAAAAATATTCTATACGATTCACACTCACAGTTCAACATTTGAATTTGCTTCACACCAAAAATTTTGCTATTCGCACAGCTCCACTTTATTGTCTTTATGTTTGGGTTTGAGAAGTATGTGTAATCTTTTTGTCTATATTGCAGTGTATCCTTGTTTGTACCAAACTATATTTTAAAAAGAAATACTTTAGATTGTACACTATGTTCAATGTATCCATCATGTATAACCTGCGTGCTCTGCCATGTCATACCAATAACAAAGGGGGTAGGGACGGCTGTGAAGCTGTACTCACAATTTTTATTTCTGCCTCCTCCTCTCTCAAGAGAAATATAACTTGATTTCATTCGAATTGTCCCATTCGACCCTAGCACTTGTCTCCTCGAATTAAAAAGTTAATCAACACGTTTCACATAACTGCTGCATTTAGGTACATGTTGATCCACTAAGGTTCTTCAACATGCACCTAAATCTAAGTACACACATCTCTAGAATTTCGCTTCTATCAAAAATGAGGCCACCATGGTCGCGATTGAGCCCATGACCAGCGGGTCAGCAGCCAAGCATCATAATCCTTAAACCACCATGGCGGCTCGGCCTGAATCAATGTCTCAAGTCATACTAAGGTGTGGGTGGTGGTGGTGATAGCTTTATTTCTCCCATAAAAATAACACAAAACATGGAGGGAGACCATAACAGAAACTGAAAATGCTGAAGTAAGCGAGAAAATGTCAGAGTCCCCTTTTTCGAGAATCATTGGACACATTTTCGAAACATCTTGTATGATGCCTTTGGCTATACTCTGTTTCAGAAGTTCCGTGCAGCACTGTGGAGGCTACAGGCCTTCTCAACCAATCAGGAGGGCAAGCACATCTAAGTGTATCCTTCCGCGCCCTGTCGTCCGCTAGCAACGTGCGCTGCAGCGAAAGCGGCAAGAGCATCTCGGGATACTGTGCAACTGTGCAGTGAGTTGAGCTGTAATTGTGAAAACTGTTAAATATTTTCCTCGGCACCGTAAAAGCACGCGTCTTGGAGACACTTGCACGTACGCATTTGAGGGATAGGGTTCAGTGGCTCATGTTTCGGTGGAAAGCGCCGCACTAGCCAAATTGAATATGAAAGCATCACGATTCGTCAGATTTTATAAACGAAGTGCCACTCGCGGTCGACACAAAATGATGGCTCTATTCTCAGTGCCTCGCCGTGCTTATCGTGCTTCACTACCCACTTGTACAGCGCACGCTCGCTGATGTTGGTGAATGCAGCCGGTCTCTTAATGAGAGAGCTCATGCTGGCATTTCTGCCGCCCTCCTTACGCAGTGTCCCGAACACATTTAGAGACAACTGCTCCCCTCCCTTGTAGTAAAAGTTGATCCGGGAACGATATCACACAGGTGAACCAGGCGCCGCCATTTTGACAGGAGTGACCAAATCTGCCACAGCAGACTAATCACAACCCAAGACTGGGTCCTCCCCGACGCTGTGGACACTCGGGCTGTGCGGACTACTCATAAAAGTTTAGACAGTGTCGTACCATTCCTTCATACTTTGTAAGTAAAAACATGACACATACGAGCCACAACAGCATTATTTCTTTCGTCATTTGCATGTTATAGCAAGTGCAAGCAGGAAATCTTTCTTCAGTATCATGAAGCCACAAAAATAGTTTTCTACAAAAAATGCAACAAAATCATCATACAAATCACAGCTACAATACGCAGAGAAGCCTTTAAGTAAAAATTCTCCGACGAGACCGCTTGCAAAAGTCACGAGGACAAAAAACGGGCTATGTATACGGGGCACTACATCTTGCTTCGCAACAACCTGCGTTCGAGAGTCGTGTAGCCTTGAATCTGCTGCACGGAACTTCTGGAACAGAGTATAGACTCTGTGCTAGTTAGGTCTTGCCAACCGATCCTGCTGACAACTTAGGCACACTGTTGCAATGCACACTGACGAGGTACAAAAGACAATGAGCATCACAGAAGGCATCGCTATAAAATACAGACCCACATAAAGCAGCCCAAGAGGGTTCCTTCTTCTTAATTCATTTTCTATAATGAGAACAGCTGCTCCATGTTCCCAGAAACATCACCTCCCTTGATGTATACAGCAAGGATCACGAAAAGCATGAAAAGGCCCAGAAAGGCGACCCGATACAGCACATAATAAATCCTTGGGGGCATGCGTTGAGTCACTTGTTCAGCATTGGGTTCATTCTTGCTACCCTGCAAAGCACATCAATAACAAGCACGAAACAATGTTAATTTTATGCATTTAGCAAGGCTGAAAATGGCAATAACATTTTTTTGCTGTACCATCAGATATTTATTTTTTCGGAATTTTATTAAAGGGACCCTAAGGTGGTGTTCACCATTTTGTACGAACACATTAAGCTGGTAAAGCAAGCCCTAAGGATACCTTGCAGACCAATTTCTACTCTCCACATCCTCTGTGTAATTTATTAGTACAAGACTTAACATGCGAGCTGCTACAGATCACAGTGCCAACGCCAAACGAGCTTTGAACTTGCCACTTTCATTCGATGTAGTATTGTTCCATTATACATAACATCAACGAGCGATCTGATAGGGCATGTTTAGTCTGCATCACCGAACCTCTGGTGGACAGCAACTGTCTGCCCGAGTTACAACGCACTCCTTGTTGACGTGAGCTGAATGACAGCGCTTATCTTGAGGATTTTTTTCTAGGGCACCATAAATTGCCCTCGCTGCATTGCATGCTGCTAATCATTCCATGTTGCAACTGGTGACTTGCAAAGCTGCGACATCATGTAAGGCATACAAGACAACTGGTGAGAAGAGTTGCTTTAGCTGACTGGTACAGTAAGCTAAGCATTGGGCTCTCTCTCTCTATATGATCAATGCCAGGCTACGCATCTGTGGCTTTAACTTTACCTCGGAAGATCCAACCAGACTGCCCGAGTTTACACTTATGAGTGATGGTTCTTAAATACATTGTTATGAGCCAGCCGAAGCAGACGAGTAGACGAAGAAGCTGACATTCCACGCAAGATGCTGGCAGCCTCTCGATGGCAGAGCTAATAGCAAATGTTGTAAGTATACTCATTTCTGTTGCTTGTGTATTTGTTTGCAACAGTTATTTGCTTGTCCGCACACTTATTGGTGTCTACATAATGTAAGTGTACAGGAGAATATAATGGCTGGTCGGTGGCACCTCATGGAGCAGATCTCAACCATTCCGTGATGTGCTTTATCTCCGCTTCTTGAAAGGGCACAGCCGAATCTCATACATGCCATAGATAACGGATGCCACAAAGTGTGTAGTGCCCTGCAGTCGCCAAGATGGCTGTGTGTTCGACGAGTAAAGAAGGAAAGGCAGTGCTGAGAAGAAGGGTAATATAAAACTGCCCACAGCTGTCTTGATACAAGGTGCATTGCTTAATTTATAAGGCAGATGATTTGATAATGCTGTAACCTAAACACTGACAAGCAATGACCACCTGCCTAAACAATGACGAAATTCTAAAAAGAAACCTGGGTTCCTTTAAGCTAGGGAGAAAACTGCATGCGACCTATTACTTCTGTTGGATCACATGAAGAGGTGAAGACTACTTGTAAGCAAAGCACAGTGTAAGTTGTGAATGGTGCACATGTTTTGCTGATAACACAGTTACAGAGCCATTCACCAGTTTTTAACGACACTGATTCCTTCCACCCTACCTGAAAGAGAGGGGGGAAAGTAATTTAACGAGTTTGAAAACAGGGAAGTGTGGTGCAGGGGTGGAAGTTGACAAAAAAGAGCGAACAAGAAAAACGAGATGGCTGCTCTTCAGGACCAAATTGTTGAGATAAATTTGTTATCTTGTCTCTACACATTGTTTGGCATCAAGACAACCCTTGGCACCTCGTTGAGTAGTGAGAAACCCAACACAATGCCCTAGGTGTAGCCCCGGGTCAACAAAGATACCAAGGTGGGGCTCCTACGGAGGTGGACGAACCTGAGTTCAACAAGGTGCATTGGTATTCCATCGAGCAGAGATTTTTCACTTACGCAGACAGCAATGCCATAAAGTGCGATACTGCTTCAGTACAGACCAAAACGCAGGGTGTTTTTGAGAGAACGAAAGCTGGAGCAATATTCTGAAATCATCGCAGAAGTGTCACCTCTGATGCGCGTTGAGTGAATATTGAGGAAAAGCAGCAAAGCGCGGGCACCATCTAGTATTTCCGCCGAGGTGATGCACATGACTGGAATAAATGAACCCGCCTTATCACTGTCGGGTTAGTGGTGAAGTCTAGAATTTCAACAACATGGACAGTAGCTTCTAGAAAACCATTCTTGGTATGTGAGCAGCATTTTGTACACCGAAGCTTTCAGCGAGCATTAGCTTGTGCGTGTGTTTTTGGTACTCGTTCCCTAACCAGTGCATATTTGTGTGTACGTATGTGCGTGCAATTTGAACCTTCTAGGAAGATGAATCGTATTTTGCGCATGGTTTATCGGGCATCGACGACATGTTCAGATGTTGATGCGATATCGCTGTGGCAGCCCACTAGAGCTCATGATGATGATGATATATGGTGTTTATTGGCACAAGGGCCATGTGATGGCCAAAGAGTGCAATGAACAATGATGAGGGAAAAGCAATGATACATTACTGATGTGATATGTACAGGATATGAACTATGATACTGTTACGTGGCTGTAAAGAGGCCTAAAATTATGTGTCCTGAGGCGGATTAAAACATAGAAGTATTAAAATCATGATAGTGACACGAGGTGTGTATAGCGGAAATAAAAGGCACTATTCGTAGTGATAAAACTAGATTGGGAAAATATAAAATTAGCACAAATGCCTCGTCAATGCATGCCCTTGAGCCCAAGGGCAGCGAGGCAGGTGCTGTTTTTAATGTGACCACCGCAGCCTCGACCTCTGTACAGAGGTCGTGCTGCGGATCACCTCGGAATATAAAGTGAAAACTATGTTTATCTTTTAAAAACATGAACATTGATTCAAGTTTAAAAAGGGGATCCCTACAGATGAACATGACAGGATGTAATGGAAGTTGCTGTCATTAGGATAATAAAAAGAGCTTTTTAGGGACAAAGCTCTTCTTAGTCTAACCTTGTCATGTGTCATGCGTAACTGAGAGAAGAGACGAGAAAGAAAAGATGGCATTATCTCTCGAAGAGTGTAATAGACGGCGCTGTCTCATAGAAGTACATACAAACTGCAGTTGAGTGAGGATATTCTAGATGGCGCTGTACCGCTACTCTCCAATTGGCTGCTGCGCGGGCTGTGCCTGGGTACAGGGAGAACGAATGCCTCTCTGTTTTCTGGATAGACGCCAAACCTGGTGCATCGTTGGTGGGGCATGGATGAAGCAGAGTGGCGGGCGCGTTGAAGACGTTTGCGCTCAGCTTCTTTGACTCTCATCTCGTCGATGTTACCCCCGCGCTGTCTGCATTCTCGAACGCGATCGAACACATGCACAGACAAACGGACGAACAGACACTTCGCCCCACTCATCATCATTCGCTTCGTGGATATGCTGTGATTTTTTTCGTAGAGAGTCTAACTCATGGCACTGAACAAGTATATGAAGAATCGTAAGCGGTTCCCCACACCGTTGAAGCATCAACACTTTTGTTCATGCTTCAGAGAGATGTGGTAGCATGGAATAGTGGATCCGATCAGAGCCCACTGCCGTATTTTCAGTGGCGTACCAACTCTTTCGCGAGTGGGGGGGGGGCGGGGGGGAGGGCGAGCCTATCTCCCTTGTCAGCCGGAAAATACATATATGATTTCGCTATGTTGTGACATTGCCTCGTGACATTTTCATTCTTCCATAAGAACATAATTAAGTGGTTACTGTTGAGGCGGTAAACTTCGCCTTACTTGGGTTTCCCAGCGTGCAGCCAAGAGTGACCATTGTCGAAAGTGGGGGACTCACGCCCCCCCCCCCTCGGGCTGATACGCCTATGCGTATTTTTACCATTAAAGAGCACAATCTTTAGTTCTTGTAATGTAAGGGGGTTGTTATAGGCTTGATGCGATGCACCTGTGAGAGGCAGTTTCTGTTTTTCTGCAGACTGTTCTTGTTTTAGGAATGTATCAGAGTAGTTGTCTGAGCTGAAAATGCTGTAAAAGTGTTCCCCTAGTATATCCGCTTGTTCTTGTATTGTAGTCTGTACGTCTGGACTTGTAAGAATGGGTATAGTATAGAATGAGTAGTTGCCCTTAACTTGTTCAGCTGGCCCCAGATTCTTTTGGATGTGACCGTGCTATCAATAAAGGATATGTACTCTTGCCACTATATTTTTCCAGCTTGCCTCCTGATATATTGAGCTTTGGCTTTAGCCTGTCTGTGAAGTTCACAAGGTTGCTATATGTAGGGTACCTCCTAAGGATGCCCCAAGCTTTCTTTTGTAGCTTCCTTGATTCAGTACAGTCACTTGTCCACCAGACTTTTTATGGTCATGATTTGACGATTGTGGTATTGCATTTTTCATGGCTGCTATATAATGACCTCAGTGATTTTATCGTTTATGTCATCGATGCTCATGTCTTGCGAAAGTATGTGTTCTAGTTTCGCATTCTCCTGGAACAGGAGCCAGTCTGCAAGATGGATTAGCCAGCGGGGTGGTTTGGAGGTGAGCGTGGGTAGTTTGAGTGGCGATTCGATGATTTTGGGTAAATGATCACTGCCTTACGAAGATCCCAGCAGTTCCCTTTTAATATCGTTAAAAACAGATGGCAAGCAAAATGCTGAATCGAGGCAACTAAACTTCCGTGAGCCTGATGAAAAGTAGGTTGATGCACCAAAGTTCGAAAGAAAGATGTTGTTCAACAAAATGAAATCTTCAACTATTCCTCTTCTATCTGTTCTGTCACTGCCCCACAGCAAACCGTGGGCATTAAAATCCCCTGCTAAAACAAATTGTTCTGGGAGTTGCATCGTTAAGACTTCAAGTTCTTGTAAAGTTACATGTTCGTGAGGGGCAAGGTAAACAGAGCAGATGGAGATGGTTTTGTGTGCTATGATGCTAACTGCTATAGCCTCAAGGGAGGTGTTTAATGCGATGGCTCGAGTGGGAATGCCACCTTTTACAACGATGGCGACTCCTCCTGACAGTCGGTTGGCATGTTCACGCTCTTTTTGAAAAACGTCCAACCCTCTCAGGAAGCTTGTTTTTTTTTTACCCAGATACTTTCCTGGAGACAGAATGTGACAGGCGAGAA